GTGAACAGTTAAACACTTTTGTGTATTCTGTGACAGCTGTTAGCTTCTTTGTTTACATTCGGAATGCAAGCCCCGAATGTCAACAAAGAAACAGGGAGCTGTTACAGAATGACACATACACACAGCTCTCAGCTTCTTTCTTTGATTACATTCTGTAAAAACTTTCTGATACTTTGTTGGCATTCAGGATGTGAGTCCCATCTGTCAGCAAAGAGGCGGAGACACTGGATAGCTGTTACAGAATGACACGCAGCTCTCCCGCTTCTTTGTTCCGTTACAAATGACATTCAGGAAACATTTCCGATGTATCTGAATTTCGTTATCAAACATTTGGATTCGTTTGGATACGTTATTTCTGTCATTCCGAACTTCAGATGCATCCGAATTTACAGAAATTCATACAAATGTCAATTTGGAATGGAAGAAATCACACATGTCTACTAAAAAAGGGTATTTGAATCTAGAATCTAATGCTTCAGTGCTATAATAAAAATCTGTCAGGCTGAGTCCAGTGGCAGTCTTGCAGACACCAGGAACTATTCTTACCCTTCCCTATGCATTTACTTGCCAATTACCACAATTACCAACCTTTACTTGATATGTAATATTTAGGGATGCACAGATACTTTTCGAGTACCAGTGCAGATACTTGGCATTTTCATGAGAACTACCAGAGTTGCAGCGGTTGTAGCTTGGACCTGGCTCTGGCGCTCCACCACTGTCCTGAAATCATTAGTCTGTATTGTTTTAGAAAAACTGTCACATGACAATAAACAAAAATGTATCAGTACTCGTACTTGTAAGTACTCGGCAAGTACCAGTACTCGTACTCGCAAAACTGGTATCTGTTCATCCGTTTATTTATATTTATAAAAACAAAATCATACATTAAAACAAAGATGTACAAACCCCAGGAGCTCTGTGTGCTGGGGTTTGTATTGTTTTGAGCTGCCTCCTAATTTTTGCATTTTTCTCTAGTCTAGTCTTGGAGCTCAAAAGTATCAGTACATGTACTCGTACTTGTACCTAGTACTGTACTTGGTATCTGTGCAACCCTAGTAATAATAGACTGATAGAAGAATAGCCTTTGTGTTGATCTGAAAGCATTTGTGGTCCATATTATGCAACTGGAGTTGGAGTGGACTTCGAGAACCCCCTTCCAGTCCAAACTGCATTAAAGGAAATTGGAGAAGCTATCTGTATGTATCAGTGCCTCTCAGACAGGGAGTGAAAAAGTTCTTACTGACTGACACCACTTGGATATTACAAACCAAGAGCACAGTTGGGCACCATGATGAATACTTCACACTTCTCATCTGCCCTAAAAATCAACATATTCCATTACTATGTGACAGCAGGAAGGTGTCCCTGCCCCTAGATCCCAATGAGACCTGTGCAGCTGCGCAGTCTGCACAAATAGTATGTGTACCCAAGGATGGGGCCATATAAGAGTGGGAAGACAAATACTTAATAAAAACCTTTAGGATTGTCTTTTGACTTTACTTTATTGGATGATCAAGCGGGGAATATATCTTTTAGTTTTCAATAAAAATGTATTTCAAAGGGGGTCCAATATTACTGGTACATTTGATTAAATGTGCAATCGCCAAACTTTATATGTGTAACTTGAAAGGCCTTAATTTTGGTAGTCACTGCATCTTCTATTGCTGTTGTGTTTCACAGACTCTAAAGAGCGATGCCACAGACAACGAGAAGGTGGATTTTTTGAAAGAGGCACACTTGATGAGGTAAACTCAAATTCCAGAGCTGTACCACTTTAAACATGCTGTACTTCAAATAATCAAATGTGAAGCTGGTGACACGGCAGTAAATATGATTGTGTACATACACATTACCTAAGAGGCAAAGAAAATTACAGTCAAGAAATGTCAAAGGTACCAAAGGAAATCCATTGCTGGCACTTAGTTTCATTATACAGAAGAGACCTCCCTCTAACGGGTCTTAGGTTTACTTTGGACAAACCAGTCCAATTAGAAATTACCACTTAAATCTAGTATTGCAGCACAACTACAAGTACAATTTTTCTGTATTACAACTTATTAGTATATTATTGGTAGAACCAGTGTACCAAGGCAATGTGAGCAAGACACTCCATGTACCTACATAGAGCAGGACAAATTAAATAGGAGATATTACTTTACATTCTATATTAAAATGATATCAGTATAGATTCCATTTTTGCACATTTACACAGTAAATAATATATGCAATTAATGGTGGTCTAATACAAAAAAAAACACATGAAGGAACAAGCATACAGATCAGGAGACTTGGTTAGTCACTAGAAACTAGCAATGGCTTTCTACATATGTTCTATAGTGAAGGATTTTTTTAATTTAATGTAACATTAAAAGTTTTTTTTCAGTATGGCAATTAAGTAAGCATAGATAATGTGCTAAGTGAAGTTACACTTAATGAGAATATTTACAAAGGCTATGTATTAAAAGACATAACCTTTTAGTGTGAAGAATATGAATCATCATGAAAACAACATAACAGTCTCTGATTTTGTGTCCAGTCAGTTCCATCATTCTAACATTCTGAAGCTACTTGGAGTCTGCCTCTTTAATGAGCCTCAGTACATTATTCTCGAATTAATGGATGGTGGCGATCTACTATCGTACTTAAGAGGAGCTCGACAGAATACTTTTGTAAGTTTAATTCATCTATCCCTGTGTTGCAAAGCAATGTGTGTCTAATATACAAGTATGTATGCCAGTAGAGCCAGGTAGCGGTTATACAAACAAAAATCGCAGCTGATGTAAGTCTAATTTGCTTGTGCTCACTCTGTAATCAAATTCAAAATATTAAAGCTAAAGCTATCTTAATGGGACACAGGTGAATACTGTTCTGTCCCTTAGTCCCCCGTTCACATCTAGGCGTTTTGTCGCTCAAAGGTAAGCGCGATAAAATGCTCAAAACAGGGAATCTCATTCATTTCTATGGCCCCTGTGTTTTGTGGCAAGCAGAAAAAACACATGTTGCTGGGAAAAAGTACATGAGTTAAATCTTGGCAGATTACAGCGCTTTTTGGTCACATTGATTTCAGTGGGAAACTCCATGCGACAAAATGCATGACAAAACACTCAGGTGTGAACAGGGGCCATAGAAATTAATTTGATTCCTTGTCTTGAGCGTTTTGTTGCACTTAGCTTTGAGCGACAGAATGCCTGGGTGTGAACGGAGCCTCACTGTTAAGACAAAGAGACAGACTGATTGCTTATTGTGCCTCAACACTTTGTAGCTATCTAAGAAAAATGGAAAGGCCTTCTGACTAGGCTCAATCTGGTCAGGAAAGTACTACATATCCAAAGCAATGAAGGCGCTGCGCATTATTCTGTTGCTTCTAGCAGTTTCCTCTAGTTGCAGTCTTAAGCAACAAAATGGCTTCTCTATTGACATGAATTAGAAAATGTTCTTAAAGTTTTAAACCCTATCTGCATGATAATGTATCATAAGTATAAAATGTATATATGTATGTATATATATGATATGTATCATATATTATTATGATGAATTCTAAACAACTATCAGGATTTTTTCCATTAAAATACTGTTTTCATAGTTTTTTTTCCTTATCGTTTTTTACACCCCAGTGCTGCTTATCTGTTACAGCCTCTTTTAGCCAGTTCCTGTCTATATGCATTCACTTGTATGTTAGCAGCACATCATTGAAGGACCCACTTCCTAAAAGTGACAACAGTAAACCATGCATGCACAATATGTTTTGGTATACCTTCCTGTAGTCTCACCAGAGGTGCATGTGACAGAGTGACAAAATGGGAGCAAAATTGGGAGGCAGGGACAGTCCGTTGTCACCCTATAACAGGTGGTGCCTAAACAAGGACCTTCATGAAAACACAGTTTACATTACATTTACATTAACATGTTAAAGCTATGATGAGTTTTTAGTGATAAGGTTTAGATCTATTTTAAGTAGAAAATAATGTTGTGGCATTATATGATGTGACTGTATCTTTTACATGAATGCTATCTGTATTTTAATGGAACCTGTAATATTTATACTGGCTACATTCCAGTCCTGTCAACATGATGCAGTTTAATTTGGATTTCCCTGGAACTACACTAAAAGTACATTAGTTCAGTTGCTATTAAGATGCATGAAGCCTAGTGATGACAAGCTGGAAAAAGGAAACCTTTGCTTACGCTCACTCTTACTATGGGAAGAGTCCAAGTCATAAATCATATATAAAATGCCATCATAAGACTCCTGTTTGAATAATAGTCTGATGAATAAAAGGATGGTAGCTTTCACTGTTCTTTCAATCCTTCTAGTATGAGGATCCTTTACTTTCAAGCATGGATCTTCTTGACATATCACTTGACATTTCCAGAGGTTGTGCCTATTTGGAGAGATTACATTTTGTACACAGGTACTACTTTAATTCTCTAACTATGATATTCTTTTCTTTTTTTAAAAGTTTATAAATAAAAATCCAGAGCAGTAGCAAAATTGTCAGTGTTGAAAGTGTGCAAATCAACATTTTACAGTTCTGGACACTACTTGTGAAAGAACAGCTGTAAACATGGCCAAGAACAAAATCACATATACTGACTTTAACATAGGCACATAAATGTAACTTTACGCGTCCTTGCTTTTCATCTCTTTTTTTTATAAAACAAATAAAAAATTCCGGGGAAGTGACCTAGTGCCCCAAACACAGTAGGTTTCTGTACATGGATGGATCTGTTGTGCCCCAGGAAAAACATGAGAAAAATAAGCAGGTAGAAGGAAAAGAGACCAGTTATAAGATGTTCATATGCCACAACCTCGGTAAGCTTAACGTGCTTGACTGTCAGACCATCAGACTGTCAGACCTCAGACCATTAATCTGTCACGCAACTCTTCAAGAACTTAAACTTTATATCAAAAGATATAATTTTGAGCAGTATACATATACCTTTTGGGAAAAAGACACGTATGGGTGTATATATATATATATACCATGGAGGCAAAATATATACCATGGAGGCAAAAACAAACACTCTTAGTATATTTTCTCTTCAAATAAAATGTAATATCAGGAAAATACCACATTCTGGCCACTAGATGGAGCTGAGGAAATAAAGATTTTGTTCTTATGATCCTCAGCTCCATCTAGTGGCCATTTTATGATATTTTCTGATATTACAGATTAAGAACATTCATTTTTGTCTCTATTTGCACAGAACATGCGCAGAGTTTTCCAGGACAAATGGCTGTGCAAATTGTTTATAATTACACCCCTTAGGCACACTAGTGGCATATATAATCAGATATCCATACTTGGCGTTGGGTTTGGAGTGTTTTAATACTGCTTAGAATTGAATATCTTGCCAGCTGAGTAGCAGCTTTAAAAAATGCTTATCCCAGCATAAAAAAGTGTCTGCAAACAAAAGTCTGTGAAGTTTCAACAGAGGCATCCCCCCTTTACATTTGCTGAGCAGAATGAGGAAAAAACATGTGTGGTGTGCAACACAGAAGTTCTACACTGTTCTCACCCTCACTGCAGAACCTAAGATATGGGATCCGTAGATAGGAAATTAATGTCTACTTTATCGTCTCTTGCTTTGGGACTGTGAAGTAAGTTAAATAAGTAAAGCCACATTAATTCCAATGAATGGAGTACAACATTGTACCTAGAAGAGAAAAAAATTGTCACAAGACCTGTCAAAGGGTTCTTCTGTCCCCATGCATGCTCTTTAATGTTATGTCGAGAACACTGAGAAGGATATGGCAGCTAACACATTCGGCATTTTATGAATGAAATGTAAAATACAGACACAGTGTGAAGTAATCACAGTAGTGTTTTATGGAGAGTGGAAAGTTCTTTTGACTGGTTGTCGCTCTACCACCAAAAATCTATCTGAATGCATTTACATATCTTTGTCCAGTGTTTTCTTTGAGACCATTGTACTCATTATGGATTTTGACTGCTTGTTAGAGACTTGGCTGCACGCAATTGCTTGGTTTCTGTGAAAGAATACAATAATCCAACAAGGGCAGTGAAGATTGGGGATTTTGGACTTGCTAGAGATGTATATAAAAGTGACTATTACAGAAAAAAGGGAGAAGGATTTTTGCCTGTCCGATGGATGGCTCCGGAAAGTCTTATTGATGGGATCTTCACTAATCGCTCTGATGTATGGTGAGTTCTGCCATCATAAATTGTACGCTGAGTTAAGGAATATAAAAGTCAAATGTAATACATAACTACAGTTTTATCTTTGGCCTCTTTAGAAAAAAGTTGTCAGATGTCAAAAAAGTCTGGCATGAAAAGGTCTGGTTTTTGATGTATATCTAGGACAAGTACAGAAATAGAACAGGAGTGATTTCAGTTATGTCTTGTTAGTGTAAGTGAGACACTATGGGGGGAATTTATCAAAACTGGAGCAGACAGAAACTGGAGCAGTTGCCCATGGCAACCAATCAGCATCTCTCTTCAGTTTGCTCAGTTGAGATTTGAGAGATTGAAGCCGATTGGTTGCAGATTTTGTCTGCAACAGTTTTGATAAATTCCCCCCATTGTATATATATTGTAAAGGATTATAGGCTCAGACTCCACCTTTTTCATAACAGCACATATTGTGAATCAGCTTGCTATGGTCATTACATAATACAGTAATAACATAATATATCTGACTGTATAAGCAAATAGCTAGCATGCCCAGCTTGTAAGGGAAGAGACTGTTAATATGGTATATTTTAACTACAAGCTCTACGATTTATCTGTATAGTGTTAGTAAAGAGGAAAAGTGATACATTTACAAAATAAATGAAAACTGCACTTCAACCCCATTCACACTGAGCGATTTGTAGCGCGATTTCAGCTCAAAAATCGCTCAAACATCAGCTCAATGTAGCTCATGGTAGCTTTTCCAATGCATTTCAATGGAGCTGTTCACATCTCACAGCTCAATGTCGCCTGTAGCTTGTAGCTCAAGCTTGTCGCTTGAACATGACCTATTTTTCGGCAGATTTCATGCGATTTGGCCCAATAGACTTCAATGTAGTGTAGCTCATTCTAGGTGTAGCTCATTGTCGCGCTACAGAAGTGTCACTTTTGCACTGAAATATAAGCAGGAACATAGGCAGGAAACAGGAAGAGCAACCATGTCACATCAAGACCGCTTTTGATTAGATACAGCCCAATGTAGCAGCTACGAAGTCCATGCCAAAAGTAGCGCGACAATATGTGCACTGTAGCCCAAAGTAGCTCAATGTCTCTCAAAGTCGTTCAGTTCAAATCAGCGCTGAAAAAGCGATTTGTCTGATGTAGCTTAGTGTGAATGGGGTCTTTGAGTAGGTAATAGAACACCAATCAATGTAACTATACATTTATTACAAAGTAATTCACAGGATTTTGAATGCAACTAGTAAAACATAATTTGACTTGGTAACAGCAAGTTGTAATAAGTGCAGCTGCATTTAGAATTAGAATTGGGGCAAAAATTAGGACCAATCAGGAGTCCTGAAGTCACATTTCCTGACCATGAGAGCAAAGAATTGACCTAATCAGTCTATAGTTACTCCTTCACTGTCCAGACACAGGCAAGGGCAGAGAGGTGACCAGGCTGTGTTGCTTAACCACAGCAGAGGAAACTCAGGTCACCAGGCTAGCTGTGAGGTGACAGAGCTATGTAAATCTCATGACTGGGTATATAAAAATGCAAGTTCTTTTGCAGGTAAAGTAGCTCCCATAATTTTATTTCAACTATGTATTCACCTATTCCCTTGGAGTTCAGCTTTTGATAATGTTCTGTTAATTGTAAATATAAGATTCAAGGTGAACAGTTGCTTTCTCAAGCTTGACTAAGAAAGGAAACTTTTTATGTATGCTTTGCTATGGTAATAAACATTGCAAAGAGTTTTTTGTACTTCGGGTCATTGAATGGTACTATTTTATTTGAATGGTAACCCTGATATACACTGATATCACTTCCTGAATTCTATGATGAGTGAACAGCGAACCTTTGGGTGCTCATGCATGGCCTGATGTGATAGATGCAAGCATCACTTGGAGTGATTAGGCAAGGATCAGGTCATGTATGGGTTAAATGGATAATGCTCCAGATTGGAGAGCTTTTTTTTTCAACATTCCTGAAATGATCTTTCTTTTCATAGAATGAGCCTGTAACGGTAAATGTGCCACAATCTTATGTTGGAAGTGTAATGAGAGTATTATATACAACGACGGGCACATTACTAATCACCTGTCACTTTCAGTAAGACATCTGCCTTTCTGTGGTCAGCCTTAGACCTCATGCATGTGGATGTGTTGATCTCCATCTTTCTTCTTTAAGACTCTTATAAGAAAAACAGGAGCTACAATTGAAGGATGAGGAGCAGAGTAGAACAGCAAATCTACTATTATTCTCTATGCAATATACATTTGTTGCGCACATAACTCACAGACTGAAATTAACACAAAATGCATTTGTTGTAATCCACACAAGAAGAATTGGACCTCTGAAGCTGTAAGAAAAAAATGCAGTATTCTGCTCTTTTAATAACCTTGGTTTCACATATGCATTTTATGCAAGCTCCATGCTTGCAGCAAACATGTTTTTGCATAAAGAATACTAGATCTCTATTCAGTCCTCCTTTGCTGTTTGCCCTTGTACCTTTGATCATCTGTTTAAGTATGGGATAGAAGAGAGTTGTACAGATTGTTCTTCATTATGTTAACACTTCTTTTACATTAGGATTAGAATTTGTCATTTAAAATAAGTATTGTTCTGTCCCTGCTAGACATTGCCCTGTGGCCTGTGTATAGCTCGACATGCAGCTAAACCCTCCTATTCTGCAATAAGTCAGACTGGATGAAATCTTGAAGCTTTATTAAAGTAGAACTATGGGGTTAAGGCTTTTCCCCATAGTTCTCCTTAGGGTAACGTGAGGACACAAACTAGCATCCTCCCATCACCCTAGGCTCAGTATACCGCGAGCTGTAGCTCACGGTATACTGAGACAACGCAGCTGAAGTGACTGACAGCTGGCTCTGCCTATCTAGAGGCAGAGCCAGCTGTACCCGCCCCTCCCCCGTCCGTTCAGCCAGTCAGCGCTGGCGGATCGGAGCGGGGAGGGGGGAATCAAGCCCTTCCCCTGTCACGGCAGAGAGCCGTGACAGAATCGAGAAGTGAGATCGCCGGTATGTGTTTGCTCACTTCCCGATCTACTGAGCCGACCTGTGACAATGAGACTGTCACAGGTCGGCTAGAACTATGAGGTGAGTGAAAAGCACTCACCTCATAGTTCTCCTTTAACAAAATAGGGTGGCGTGAAACTGGTAAAAAAGAACATGAAAACTGCAAACAGCTTATGAACATGTAAATGAAGTGATAGCTCACAAATAGAATGCGAAACAAGTCTGCTCCTACCAGCAATGCTGCCGTAAGGGAAATCGGGCATTTACTCCAGACATGCATTTAGGATGGCATCAGATTCTCTTCTCCTTCGTTCATAGATGGAGTCTAAGTCCCAGAATGCACTTGTTCCCTTCTTCTTTTGATAGAGGTTGCTGGGAACCTACCATAGAAAAACAGTCAGCTTGCTTTGAATAGAGATGTATTCTCTTTAGCACCATCTTGTGGCCAATTTTGAGATGCCAGGTAGGTATTTTAAAAATCCCATGCCTGAGGGCAGAGCAAGTATTTTAATAAAATCCAACTTCTCATGAGTCATGAATTTATGATATTATAAATTACATTATCATTATTAGAGTTCCTTTTTCATGTCATAACTGAAAACTTCTGCTCCTGATCTCCCTTAAATAAAACCTAGGCAGCCTCTGGCTATTGGGTCATCGTGGAGATTTCTTGTCATCAAAGGCTGTATAAAGTCTGTTGTTTTATAGCCAGATTGCCTTTGATTTGTAGATTGCATTAAGGTAAGTGAATTAGCAAGGCAAAACCTGCATGTGTTTATGGCTGGTCCAATTTACATATACTGATGACATAAATGACAAGGTTTTGCATACAATATCACATATTGATATGATTATTTATATTAAGCCGTTATTGCCCTAGTTTGTGACGGGTTTAATTTACCAGGGGGCAGTAATATACCGGGCACAGTATGGTATATAACAATAACATTTTGGCATGCGTTTGATGTACTATGATGTAAGAATAAGTCCTGTATATCCCAGCTGAAGACTTTTTTATGTATCTGTTTAAGGTCCTTTGGTGTTCTTTTGTGGGAGCTCTTTACATTGGGTCAGCAGCCTTATCAAGGGTATTCAAACATGGAGGTTTTACATTATGTGCGATCTGGAAGAAGAATGGATCCTCCTGATAACTGTCCTGATGACATGTAAGTCGAAATTATTGATTCATAAAAGTCCCAGTACAGGTTTTTAAGAACCATTGCCACTAATGTGCATTATCTCAATGTAAATAATCTATTAAAACCAACTGGAGTTTTCAATTGTCTTCAGCTCCAGTAAGGTCTGATGTTCTATTTTGTAAATATAAACTTAAATGACAGTAATTGCAGCATTTATTTGTTGGCTCTTCAAATGATGATGAAATATCTGGCACTAGACTAGATTCTAATGTGGTTCATACAATTACGTTTATTAATAATGCTAAAAAAACATGATGCATTCTAGTGAACCTGCCCACACAGAGGACTATTATGATACAAGAAATTAAATTTTAGTACTCAATGGGCAAGGGTGTCTCTAGCCTTCTTTTGAGGTGGATCTTCTCACTGACTCTGGCTGGCATCCTGCCCAGCTCACTGTCATCACTGGTTGCCAGGAGCTAGGTGGGGAGATGTGTATGGTCCTTACAAATCTTCCCACCAGGCTCTTAGTAACCTGGGACATTCTGGCGGGAAAGGGGGAAAGGAGGTGCCTGGCCGGCACAACATTATGCAGCAGAGCGGCCATGCGGCCACCCCCCACTTGACGCAAAGAGATGCCGTCTGAGGCAACAGCCTCATTATAGGGATGACCCTGTCAATGGTTAACCCTGTATATGATATTTGAAGCTATCAGATACCCATTAGAATAGTTGAATGACTAGTAGGATTGTATGATTGATATTACAGCGCATACATATGGTTATTTTTTATCAGGCTTATTGGTTCTTGCACAGTAGAAGAAGAAGTTGGCAACACATATCTTTCATACTTTGCCTAGGGAGAAATGTTAAGAGGTTTCCCTGTCCCTGTAAATACATTGCAAATTATGTTTTCTAATGCATATGTAGCACACCCCCTAAGGAGCCACAGAGAAAAGGTGGGTCATCCAAAAAGCCAGTCTAGGGAATTTGGTATATTCCCAGATAGCAAGAAATTGTGCTGCAAGTTTGAAAATGACTTGCTAAACTCTTGCAGACTTGCTAAGCTTCACAATTTTGTTGCACGATTACAGCAAGTCTGCATTGCAAGTCTCCTGACCAGGGAGCTTGCAGAGCTCTTGCTAAGACTTGCAGAACTCTTGCTGTAGACTTGCCAAGCAAATTTGCTACAAATTCAAAAATTGTCAACTAGAACTTGTGCTGCAAGTATTCTGCAAGTCTACAACTTGCCAGGAAAATGTGCAGCAAGTTAACAAAATTACAATTTAACCCCAACACAAGTTTGTGGCAAGTTATCCTTGCTATCTGGGTTGCTGCCCAAAATGCACCTACCACCCTCTATGGTGACCGATAAAAGCGAGGTGCGGACTGTAGAGATGATGCTGAGGAACTTTATTGATGAACATCAGGGAGAGAGGTTGAGGATCAGGATCATACAAGCTGGTGTAGACTCCTTTAAGCAATAGGACAGAGTGCTATAACACAATACTGCCATCACAGACTATGACCTTTAAGCCAGACATGGAAATCTGTGTGTAGAGCACCTGGCCGAGCAGTACTCGAATCAGGAGTCATCGAACATCTTCATCCTTGGTATTAATAGTAGCCACTGGGCCCCCAGACTCAGTTCTTAGTGCAAGCACATGGCTAGTTCCCAGACTTTAGGCCTTGCAAAATCAGACAAACCATAACAGCCTCCCCCCAGACAGGGCCCAGAGGAGGAAGAGAAAGCTCACATGATCCACCCCAAGAATGTATACCCCTCTCAGCATGCAAGACTGGCCATCAACCTCTTAGTGCTTGGTTAGGGAGACATACATACTCATAACAATCTCTCATTGGTTGCTCTGCCCTGTGGCCAGGATACACCTAGCAGCAGGCAGATGCAAGCAATGACAGATTGATTAGGGGAAACCAGATGAGCATAGACTACAAATCAGCATCAGACTGATTACAATCTGATTACAATAGAATACAAAATTTACTAAGCATTCCTGCTTACAGGCTGCTACGCATATTTAGGTGAATATTTTCTCCACTCTACTGATTTAAAGTGAATGTGTGGGCAAAATCTAAAATAACACAGCACAGCTCTCCTGTACATGCACATTTACCCATGCTTTGGTTCTTTAAAAATGCTGCAAGCATAGACAATTCTGCCAGCTCCTAACTTCCTCTAGCAGGTTGACAGTGCTGCTTCTGCTGCACTGAAATTCCCTCCTGTTGGACTATGTCAGCACATCCACATCTCCATAGATCCTCTTAGTTTACTTTGTCAGTACTCGCTTCATTCCACCCATAAGCTCCTTGCTGCTTCCCTCCCTCTCCTGCTATTTCAGTCCAGCAGTGGTTGTGTTGTCAGCCCATTACAGGATGTTAGGTGCACACTGTATTTCTGGCAGATCAACAGATATTCTTCTGTACTTGCTGGGTTTTTAAAGAGACATAACATTGTGTGTTATAAAGTAGCCACCACTCCAAGCTCACTCCCTTGGTGGACTACAATCTCACATTTAGTTTACTAAATTGTATTGAGATTGTAGTCCATCACAGGATTGAGCTTGGGGCGGTGGCTACTTTACAACACACACAAGGACCAGGGGTAACAAAAGTAGCCACCCTCCAGAAGGAAGGACAGTGTCAGCACCAATTCAGAGATGATTTGAGGATCTGTAGCTGAGTGATACACAAATAAGATACATTTTTCTTAATTGTTAGGGTACTTGAATGCATTTTTAAGATTTAACTCCTGAGTTTAGTGTCACTTTATGTGCTGACACTTGACAATATGTACAGTATATGTTTATACTGTATTCATGTTTTTATGTAATATATAAGAATTGCCAACTGTACTGAATGTCCTGTTCATCTTTTTACTAGCAATGAAGGCATAACTGAGTAAAGATCTGTCTTTCTGTACTGCGACTTTGCATTTGTAACTAGGAGAGAATGGATTTACTTAAAAAAATGAAGACACCTTCAAAAATAAACATATTGTTGTCTGCGGAGCCTAAGGCTGGCTGGCGGGGGTAAGCTGCTTAGGTCATTATACTTCTTTTTATGGGATTGACCTAGCACTCAGCGCCTGTATGCTGCTCCTGTCAGTTAACTATATTGTCTGTTGCCACTACAGCCAGTTATTAATGGAAGTGCTGAATTCTTTAAATTCCATTTATCCTAAACATAGTTCTGAACATGAAGTGCTGAGGAAAGGGCCATTAATCGTTTCTTATTTCTGCTTAACTCTAGCAGATTGCCATTTCCCAAACCATCCATCAATTATAATTTTAGGGTTTAAAGAAGAGACATACTCATGCTCAACTTGTAGATGTCACTAATATAAATATATTTTCCTTGTCCACTTTTTCTTTACAATTAAATAGGCAAATTATTAAAAATATTAAAAATACACAAGAGATGCAAGTACTAAGACACAATAAAAAATACATAGTAGGCAATGAAGATAACTGCTTTGTATACACTATTTGAAAAAAATGAAAACACGTTTCAGATAATGCAGTTCCATTGCTAAAAACTCAGATCCCAAAAGTAGTACAAAAGGAAATTCCATGTTATGGCATGGCGTTCTCAAGCTATGCAAACTATTGCAATGCAGTATTTATGTGAATAAGCAAATTAAGCTGCAAGTAGGTCTAAAATGAATTACATACCAGGACTCATTTTTTTTCTCCTAGTCCTTGACATGAAGCAGTCTGAAACTGTGAAAGTCACTTGTGGACCAGGAGAACTGATTTATTGCTAGTGTAGAGGAGATAACATCATGATTAGTGAGATGTTTCTATTGTTAAACTCTTGAGAATGAAAGTGGAAGATATGCTACTTTGAGCTCCTTCACCACCAAATGCAATCAAAAAAGTGGGAGCTTAGTACTGGGAATAAAGGGGAGAAAAGCTGAATCCTAAAGATTTTATACTTCGATATTTCAGTAATAAAGATGTGGAACAGAAAAAAAAGATCTACAGATCTACAGATCTACAGATCTATAGATCTATAGATCGAGAGAGAGAGAGAGAGAGAGAGAGAGAGAGAGAGAGAGAGAAAAACCTATTCTACTACACTGAGAACTCGTCAACTAGTATCATCTTTGAGTTTGATTTACTAGCATATAAGCTAAATCTCTGTTTATTTTGAATGATCAATCACCAGCAAGGAAAAGTAGTATTTTGCTTGAGTTAGATGATTAAAGTAAACCTCAGTGAAAACAGAGACTATGAAAATATCTAACTATTATTTTAAAAATAAATGTTTATTACATTTTAAGGTGTATCTTTTAGAAGTACAGTAGATATGCATAGAGAAGCAGTTTTGTATGCCCTGAACCCATGTACTTAATTTTTTGTTTCCTCGTTTCTCTCTTTTTACCAGCAGAGGGAACCATATATACATAAAGAACTATACCAAGTAGGCATGTAAAGTTGACTTTAGTTTATCAATTGTAAAACACTCCGAACACAAAATATCTTTTAGCACTACAAAGAAATGTCAGTGTAATTGAAAAAAACACATTTTCATAAATAATAAAATTCATTATGCAAATACCTTCATTTATTTTAAATATATTCATGTTGAAGATTTATGAACTCATTTTGTTATTGTACGCACAATTATATCCTTCCGTTTTTCAGATATAAGATGTTGATATTATCAGTGCTCATAGTATGGAGCATTTTGCTACATGACTATGCAATAATGTAAAAATGAAAAGCTTCTGACAAGCTGAATGAAGTTTGATTAACGATTTAATGACAACAACCTAATGCCCCAGGGTCCATCCAGTCATTACCCACTTAAGCGTTATAGAGCACTTCTCCCAGTACTGTGATCATTAACTAAACTGACAGCCTTTTCACAGTTTCACTCTTATGGTAAGCAAGATAAACCCCTAGGAAGAGTGACTGCTCCATTAAATATTTTATAGTCCATGAAAATGCACCTTTCAGTTATTTTGTATAGCTGGGCTGTCAGGCTATACATGACGTGTCAATA